CCTTTTCCTGTTATTTGCCCTAAAATGCTCTAGCTTCGGCACAATCTCTTGTGAGGAACGGTGTAAAAGGGCCCTTCTTGCAGCCCAAAAGAAATGCAGTCAACCCCACCCCTCTCTCTCGGTTTTAAACTTCTGTTTTTTTATCAAAAAACCCCTCAAGAAGGTTTTGACCGGGGATTTGCCTTCCGTAACCCGTGCGGGTTTGGGCTTTTATACCTTGTTCCTTTCCCAAAGGGTGCCCCCAAACCACCCCTCCCTCCTGATAATTTTTCCCATAATTTTGCATACATACTTTTTCAATGACACGGGTCTATAAGTTTATTTCCCTTTTTTTTCTGTCTCCTTTTTTAAAAAAAGGGGAACATTTTTGGGCCGTCTTTCCAAAACCTCAGGTATTTTGCCCATTTTTCCAGGACGGGGTTTGAAAGATTGTGGAAGGGGGCACCACAACATATCTGCCCCCCTCTCTAAGGACCCAGGGGGAGATGCCCGGGTTCCCATTGCCTTTGAGGTATCGATGTCCCTTGGGCATTTTTCTTCACCTCCCCCCTCACCCTTAGGGTAGGGCCCCGCCCAAAACATTTTGTTGGTGTTTTCCCTTGCTGTGCCCCCACCCGGGGCGCCCCCCCAAAAGGGGCCCCTTCCCCTGTCCTACTGTAAATACTTCCTTAAATCTCGTTTTTGACTCCTAAAACATACCTCTTGATCTTTTCCCTTGTGATTTTCCCCACCTTTTTTTCCTCACCCTTACACCGGGCCCCTTGACTTTTTGTCTTCCTCCTAATGGGGCTATACAGCATTTTTCCGGGTCAATTTTACTTTCAAAAAAATTCAATGTCTTTTTTTATACTTTTCCGGGGGGCCTTTCCCCTCCTTATCTGTGCATACTCGTTTCGGGGCTCTCTATTTAATCTCCTTGTTTTCCGGGTTCCTATCCCCTTTGTCCCTTTTTCCCCATTCTCTGTTGCACTTATTTTTTTGCCTCCCTACCCCTTCGGGAAAACCCAAAGGACCCGTTTTGGTCTTCCATTATTTCTTTTTCCCCTTTGGGGAACAAAATTTTCCCCCTCTCCCTCCTTGCACTTTTTTTGCCACATATTTCCCTCATCTCGTTTTCCCGATTTTCCCACCATTTCTCTGTCCCCACTGAACCCCTGCAGGGAAATTTTTCCATACCTGTGTAGTCCCCCCTTTTTTTAGTTTTGGGCCCGGCCCCTTCAGTTTTCCCGTTACCTTCCCCCACTTGTAACCTAAATATACAATTTAAAAAATCAAACCACGTGACGCTACTTCCCCAAAGGGGGCCCCTCGTAATGATTTTCCTCAAATTTTAACTGCTCAGGGGAACAAAAAGATCCAGTCTTGCCCGGGTTTATCCTCCCCTCTCTCTCTGTTGTGTCCCTGACATTTGGGTGCATGAGGTTTTCAAGTACCACATCCATCATCTTGGGGTCTCCATGTTTTGGGGCCCCCCCTTTGGGTCCAGGGTTTTTCCCCGTCCCATCTCCGGGGGGAAATTTGCCCATTACCATTTAAAATTTTTTTTTCCTCGATAGCTCTTCCTTGCCAAAACCTCAGCCAGTGTGGTCCCCATCACCCTGTTGTTTTCCCTTTGTACCCTCCTTTGGGCCCCCGATTTTTGTGGTGGGTTTTCATCACCCAATGACTACCTTTTTGTTTTTCCGGACTGAATTGTAAACCCACAATGTATCTCCTTTTTCCAATTTAGTTTTATGCCTTTCCCTTTCCTCAAATCCCCATCCGGGTTTTTATGAACCTTTCAACCCCTCCTCCCCCTCTACTCCTTCTATCTTTTCCCCAGGATCTGATACCCGTTGGGGGAAAATTGTGTCTGTTATTGTCTCAGCGAAAATTTTTTTCTGTGACTGCTATGATGCTGGGGATTTTTCACTGATTCTTTTGTTCCACTCCTCATTTTTTTTCGTTTTCCATCCGCGTTTTTTGTACCAAAAATTTCAGTTTTTTTTCTAT